AGCAAAGTGTCAAACTGTCAACTTATTCAGATATACCAAATATTGTTCAAGTCAAGGAAGGTGTACAAAATGCCTTTATTATTGATATTAATGCAACTGACAATGATTCTGGTGTGTTTTATACCTTAACATCATGTCATGAGTACTTCACAATTAATTCATCAACTGTAAGTTTGTTTTTTTTTCTTTTTTACTCCATTTCATTAATTTCTGTATCTCAGAGCATGTGAGAAGAAATGTGCTGGTATCAATAACTATGATTGCCTACAATAAAGTTCATTTTACAGACCAATTCATTGAGTTTAACGTCCATTTAGTATCATACTGCTATAATTTCATAACATAAGCTAGTCTCACAAATCAATTGAGATGTACTATAGGACAATGGTCTACTAGTAGAATCATCATCATCATCATTGCAATCTTGGAAGACCATTGATTTTTCATGTTTAAGAATCAGATTCCCATTTTGTGTTTCACATGGCTGCAAAGTACAATGTGTGAGAGGCAGACATGGCCACAGATGTCACATGTACCAGCCTACCCCACTGATGATGATGATAATGTAATGTGCCCTCACATTGCTTCTGCTTCCTTCTTGTTCTCTTCACATCTCTAAGATAAGCCAAATTAGTCACATGTATCAACAGCCCACGGCAGATTGATTGCTTCCATAGAAGTCAATGTTGAGCAGTTTTCTTTTTTCTAGGGTTGATATTAAACAATAATCAATACAAGCACTGGTTAAATGTATCTAGTTACTTGGAATTCATAAGTTCAATCTCTGGTTGGGTAGTGAAAAATAGTTATTGTGGTGTTAGTAGACATGGTTAAATGCAAAATAAGTAACAGAAATGTCCAACAAACAGAAGTGACAAAGGTTGCAATAAACAACAAGAAAAAGAAAAGAACAGGGCAAAAGATAATATAAAGCAAACAAACAACATATGCAAGGCAAATTAACAGTAATAAGGCAAATTAACAGTAATAAGGCAAATTCACAGTAATAAGGCAAAACAACAGAAATATAGCAAAACGTTGACAAACTAAGAATTGGGGATGACACACAAAAGCAAGTTCAGACAAGCGAATGTAGTATTCTGACTTCAAGACAAGACAGACCAAGACTGAGTCAGATTAAACTGAGAACCAGCCTATTTTATTGCCTAGGAAAAAAGTCCCAGCATGCATTTGTGTACTTCTGCCTATAAAAAGGGGAAGGGCAAGTGTTTACTGTCATTCCCCTATGGGATACCCTCTTTGTGGCTGGCTCAGCTTGTCAACAACCAAGATGCACTCTTTCTGGTCTTGGGCACCAGCAGTGGATCATTTTAACAACTCTGAGTTTTCACTTACCTGGCAATTGATCTGGAATGCACTATCTCTCAATGACATAGCCTTCAGAGGGGGCTGGGCAGATTTGCCAACCATCATTGGTGCAACCTTGATCTACAGGAAATGGCTTCACATCCCTTCTACCATTGTCCTCACATGCACCTGTTCTGGGACTATGTCAGTGAGTTGATGGCTCATATTGATCCCAAACATATTGTGTCCATCAATTTTGCATAAGTGTCACTGCTATATTCTGGGGTGAAACAGATGGTGTTTCTAACATTGCTAGCTGTGGTGAGAATGGTAGTATTGATGTCACAAATGGAGGGAATCTTGCAATATGAACGCTATTCTCATCAGTATCTGGTTGGATTCTTCAGGCATCAGCTCAGGATGAAGATCATCACTGATAGACAGCATTTGTTATTGACAGATTTCAGCGAAAGGTGGGTGAAAGTGGTGAGCTTTGTTCAAGTGAATGAGGCCAGTTTTGATTTTCTTTCATAGACCCCTCCCCTGATTAAGATATACTCTCTTTGTTTACCTAGTTAATGTAAGTAAGTGTTGTTCCTGGCCTGTTCCTGGCAGTTTCTTTTGTTATGATCCATGTCGAGATTTGCAACCTCCCCAGTTTGTTTTTGTACCCTTTTATTTTTTCATCTCGACTGAGTTAGACTTTGATTTTCCCACTCCACCATTTATTTTTATTTTTCTCTTTCCATTAGGGAGCAAACTTCTTGATTAATAGGCAGAATAAAGCAGTGCTCTCATTTTTGTCGGGTGGATGGGTTCTACTAACATCTGTTATGTTTAGTTTGAATGTTTTATTATATTTTAGTTTATTTTCTGGGTTCATTCCCTCCTCCCTCATTTCATATCATTGTATTTTTTATATATTTTTGTAAGTAAAAGGGAAAAAAATAGAAAAAAAGAGACATTTCAAATTTTTATGCGATGGTTTTTTTAGGTTGTCTGTGAAGATGTGGTATTGTGGTATATGTACGATTGAACGGAGATGGATGAGTTCTTGTGGTGAATGAGAAAATTGTAATGAATGAATGTGTCATGAATCTGATTAGCTAGGTCTAGGATGGAAAGTGTTGACCAGTCCTACCCCACTTCCCCTTTGGCCTTGTGCCAAAATTGTTATTTTTTAACAATAAATCAGCATTCCCCCCTTGGGTTACTAAGTTGCGCTCTTTCAGGTTCACTTAAGTAAACCTGAGTTTTCACTTATCTGGCAATTGATTCAGAACATGTTATCTCTCAATGACATAGCCTTTAGAGGGAACTGGGCAGATTTGCCTATCATTGGTACAACCTTGGTTTAGAAAAAATGGCTTCACATGCCTTCTCTCATTGTTCAGAGATGAGCCTGTTTTGTGACTATGTTGATGAGTTGATGGCTCATACTGATCCCGAACACCTAGTGTTCATCAATCTCACATATGTGTGTGATAATTTGTCACCCCTGTATTCTGGGGTGAAATGAATGATGTTTCTTACATTGCTAGCCATGGCAAGAATGGTGGTATAGACATCAAAGATGGAGGGAATCTTGTGATACAAATGTTATTCTCATCACGATCTGGTTGGATGCTTTGGGCATCAGCCCAGGATGAAAATCTGATCTGATAGAAAGCATTTGCAGTCAACATATTTCAGTGAAATGTGAGTGAAAGTTGCAAGCTTCATTCAAGCAAATAATGCCAGCCATGATTTTCATTTTTTAGTCCCTTTTGATGAAATGGGGCAGTTTCCAGATGAACCTTCCCCTAGTTAAGATAGACTCTGTTTACCTAGTTAATGTGAGTAAGTGTCGTTCCTGGTATGTTCCTGACATTCTCTTTTGTTATGATTCATGTTGAGATTCCCAACCTCTCCATTTTGTTTTTTGTCTCCTTTAATTTCATCTCAACTCATTCAGACTTTGATTTTCTCACATGTCTTCATTTATTTTTATCCTTCCCTCTCTATTAGTGACCGAGCTTCTTGATTCCGCCTATCATCAAAATACAGTAGCTGCTTTTATTTTTGTGGGTTCGACAGGTCCTACTTCAGTTTCAATGTTTTGTTATAATTTGGTTTCATTTTCTGCGTTCATACCCTCCCCTATCATTTCATAACATTATATTTTTATAAATAAAAAAAAGAGACATTTGAATCATTTGTACATAATGCAATTTTTATGTCATGTCTTTTTGTTTTTTAATTTCCTTGTGAAGATGTGGTATTGTGTTACATGTCAGATTGAATGGTAATGGATGAGTTCTTGCAGTGAATGAACAAATTGTAATGGATGAATGGATCATGAATCTGGTTAGCTCAGTCTAGGATAGAAAGTTTTGACCAGCCTCTCCCCAATTACCCTTCAACCTTGAGTCAAAAATTACTGTAATAATTTAACAATAAATCGACATTCCACATGGGATGGAAATCAGCAATTACATATGGAAAAATAATATCTCAAAAACAAATTAACAAAATATAATTAATTGATATATGATATCTTTTGGAACTGATAGTAGAACAAAAACAATCTCTTTCCATGGATTTTATTAAAGAGATTGTTTCAAAGTTATAAAAATATTACTAACTACAGACACTTGAAGAAGCCCTGAGAGTAAAACAGCCAAAATGATTTTGCAATATAATGTTTAATAATGATATCTCATCATATCAAAAATTCAGATAAAATGTAAATTACAATTTAACTGTTTATAGTAGTGCAATGGTTAACAAGCATGTCTTCGCAAATGTAATGTGATTGATCCTCACTCGATGCCTCACTAGTTTAACTACATTCAAGATTAACAGCAGTATCAGTGTGACTACAATAAATGATGGTTAACAAGTCTGTTTTTCAGATCAATTTTTTCTAATGTAATCAGTTTTACTTTCACTTGTGTGGCCTTGTACCAAACTAAACTCAATAAATACATTTTCTAAATCCACTATATTGCAATGATTAGTAAGCATATTTTGTAAGTGTAGTATGTTTGATCCTCACCAGGTACCCCATTACAATTAAACTAATATTGCAGAGGAGGAAATGGGTAACCTGGAAGACAGAACCTTGTTGCTGTTGTTACTTTTGTAGAGTTTCCATTCATTAGAACAACACTAATGATAAAGGTGTGAATCACAGTGCAGTTTATGAGGTGACAGGTTAACCTACAACATAGTGTGGTGGTTGTATGTCCAACATATGAATTTAATGTTTGTAAATCATAGTGAATTATAGTGAATGCAAGAGAATTCAGAGATTGTGTGCTGTAGAAATGGTTTTTGAGTGTTCGCATTGTTAGTAATAATGAGGTTGGATTATTTAATTTTTTGTAGTAAATTATTAACCTTATATATTTATTAATCAAGGGACAGTACACCAAAAAATATTTCAAGAGTATTGCCCTAAAAGAAATTGTGCTATGATGTATGTTTTCCTTTCTTACATTTATAATCACAAAAGCATACAGAAATCCAATAATTATTATTACAGACATTATTTCAGCTATTTTTTCTCTTCAATAAATTTTCAAATTTCTTCTGCTTTTTAAACACTTCCTTTGCCTATTCTATAGTAATTCTATTGTAATTGATAAATATTGAAAATCTATTCATTCATAATCTCTTTGCTGTTTTCTTTGTTTTTTTTATACCTGCAGGGAATTGTTCGAACACGAATGCCCTTGATTTGGCATCACCAGAATAATAAAATCCCAATAACAGTTGTGGTGCATGATTCTGACAACAAAAGTAATCAAACAGAAGAACATGTAAGTCTTTATTCTGTAGTGCCAACACTCTAAACAGATGGACATTATAAAAAACTGCTCACAATAAAAGAGATGAGTAAACTATAATCTGGTACAAGGCTAGTGAATAGGAGTCTCTTGGGAGGGTGAAAAGTTTAAAAAATTACTGTCACTAATTTAGGCTTAAACTAGAGATTTTTAAACCAATTAGGTCTTGATCACAAAAATAAGAACAACACTAATGATAAAGGTGTGAATCACAGTGCAGTTTATGAGGTGACAGGTTAACCTACAACATAGAGTGGTGGTTGTATGTCCAACATGTGAATTTAATGTTTGTAAATCATAGTGAATTAAAATGCATGCAAGAGAATTCAGAGATTGTGCACTGTAGAAAGAGTTTTTGAGGCTTTGCATTGTTAGTAATAATGAGGTTGGATTATTTAATTTTTTGTAGCAAATTATTAACCTTATATATTTATGTTCAATGTATGTGTTCTGGCATATAATGCTTGTAATGGATGCTTCAGTTCATTTATACATTGGCCGCAATAAAATAAGTTTATTGAGTTTTAGATACCAGGCCATAGCAATGGTGAACCAAAACTTGGAGATTTGAGTTAAAGGGAAATAACTAAGACACCTGGAAGAGGCATGGCAAGTGGAACTAGAACAATCTACCTCGGTGTACAAAATAAAGGGTTTGGTTCAAATTTCGAATCATGGAACATTGTGAATATGGTAATGAAGATGAGAATATCAGTCTGAATAATGTAAATAATGCAAGTAATCATAATACCTCATCTCAGTGATATAGACAGATATCTAGAGAGACATAAACATAATGGCCGGAGCGTACAGCAGCCAAAACATTGTGAATATGGCAATGAAGATGAAGATGAAGATAGCAGTTTGAATAATGTAAATAATGCAAGTAATCATAATACCTCATCTCAGAGATATAGACAGAAATTTGAGATTAACTGTGTGTTGTGACTCATTTGGAAGGCTTGAATGATTAGCTTCATTTGTCTTTTCCTCTAATTGATTGGAGAAACTTTACCTAAACCTCTGTGCCCTTTCAAAATTAAATGCTGACAGCTTAACTTGACTACTTAGCAACACACATTTTCCTATACTCCTTTTCTTTGTAGGCCCTTAAAACATTCTGCAAACTAGCCCTAACCCTAATCCTTTTAAAATTCAAATTTAAAGTCATACTCTTTTGCTATCAAAACAAAAGTCTCACACTAGGCTTATTTTCTTGGTGCAGAAACATTATAAAATGTTCATATATAAATTAATAGTAACTGCCTCTTCACTTTTGACTTAGGAAAGTTTTTATAGGAATTTTCTCATAGTGGGTGTTTGGGAATTTCTATTAATAATTCCATCTTTACTCGAAGAGAATACATTCAAATGCTAGTCAAAAATATTCTTTTTCTTTTGTGTAATTCCAGATTACTGTAGAAGTCATTGATGTTAATGACCATGTTCCAGAATTTTCTCAGAAGTCCTACAAATTCCAGATAGCAGAAAATGTTGCAAAGACATTTAATATTCAAGCAACTGATATGGATGGTGGGAAAAATGCCCATGTAACCTACAGTTTCTTCCCTTCACAACCACAAGGTATATGTCGATCTTAATTTATTGATTTTTCTTTACTATTTTAATGTCTTGAATAATATCTGGTGCGACATTTTTTGGGTGCCATAAGTGGGAGATAATATAATGTTATGTATCTGGTGCCAAATTTGAACATTCTCATTTGTCTTTTAGATCTATTAAGTGCATTAACAAGTCAGTTTCCAATCTGTCACAGGAAATGAAAATTCATGTTCTGCTTGTGATATTATTATTATATATTTTATTATTGGGAATGGGACATTTTGGTGTAGCCAATTTGGCATGGCCAATCGAACATTGGAATTTTTCAGCAGAGGGACGATTATACATCTGATTACTACTTCATCATTATAGTCAAATTTGTATTCTCTCTCTCTCTCTCTCTCTGTCTCTTTGTCTCTCTGTCTCTTTGTCTCTCTCTCTTTCTGTCTCTTTGTCTCTCTCTCTCTCTCTCTTTTCTGTATCTCTCTCTTTCTGTCTCTCTCTCTGTCTCTTTGTCACTCTGTCTCTTTCTCTTTCTGTCTCTCTCTCTCTCTCTCATTTAGTAGTCAAATTAGTACTTCATCATTATACTCAGATTTGCTCAAATAGTCCAATTTAAGAAAACGAGTAGTTGGAGGCATTTTTATATTTAAGAAGCAAAGTAGTTGGAGGCTTTACTAAGTTTTTTAATTTAATTTTTTTTAATTTAAATTATTCCATTAATGTTTTAATAGGATCCTTAATTCCCTAAATGAATATTGAAAGTTGTTATAAAATTTGATTCTCTCAAAATATGACCCAAATATACAGGCTCCACACAATGGAGTAGATAGGTTCACCTATCACCCAGTTCACATTGCTCCCCAATCTTTTGAACAGGACTAGAGGTTTATCCCTTGTTTCTTGTTTAGGATTGAGTTCTAAAGTCTTTTCATTCTCTTTCACTTTTAGTAGCCCCTTCAGTCTTAGAGGCAGTTGTTGGTTTCTATGTAGGTTTTGGTTGCTATCTACATGTTGCAATTCCAAACATTTAGCTGCAACAACAAACCATCTTTTAAATGAAACATAAAAAAGGTTATTTTATGAAGGAAAATAAGCAGAACATCAGTTGAAATAATATTTATATATTCTTTTCAGAAATTTACAATAGCAATAAAATGTCCAACTTTCCTTGCAGTGAAGCTTATTTTATAAAATAATTAAGCGTTCTTAGTGCTGTATGAAATGTGTGAACAGACTAGTTTTATGACAGTTAGCCTAATGCAGTTGTGAGTTCATAGACAAAGTCTTAGCAGGCAGTTACTGCTTAATCCCTTCTATAGTGTGTGTGGACGAGGCCTTAGTCAGTGGCTGTTGGCTTTTTCTTTTCCATTGTTTGCATATGTGTGAGTGTGTGTGTGTATGCATGTGTAGATCAAACCAGCTTCAGAAATTGTTGTGAGAGAAACTGTGCAGCACCACATTTAAGATATATGTGGATTTTCATTCACTACAAGAAAAGACACCAATCATACAATGTTTATTCACTACAAGACACCAATCATACAATGTTTATTCACTACAAGACACCAATCATACGATGCTTATTCACTACAAGACACCAATGATACAATGCTTATTCGCTACAAGACACCAATCATACAATGCTTATTTGCTACAAGACACCAATCATACAATGCTTATTCGCTACAAGACACCAATCATACGATGCTTATTCATGACAAGACACCAATCATACAATGCTTATTTGCTACAAGACACCAATCATACAATACTTATTCACTACAAGACACCAGTCATACAATGCGTATTCTCTACAAGACACCAATCATACAATGCTTATTCACTACAAGACACTAATCATACAATGCGTATTCGCTACAAGACACCAATCATACAATGTTTATTCACTAAAAGACACCAATGATACGATGCTTATTCGCTACAAGACACCAATGATACAATGCTTATTTGCTACAAGACACCAATCATACAATGCTTATTCGCTACAAGACTCCAATCATACAATGCTTATTCATGACAAGACACCAATCATACAATGCTTATTCGCTACAAGACACCAATCATACAATGCTTATTTGCTACAAGACACCAATCATACAATGCTTATTCTCTACAAGACACCAATCATACAATGCTTATTCACTACAAGACACTAATCATACAATGCTTACTCATGACAAGACACCAATCATACAATGCTTATTCAAAGACACCAATCATACAATGCTTATTTGCTACAAGACACCAATCATACAATGCTTATTCTCTACAAGACACCAATCATAAATGCTTATTCACTACAAGACACTAATCATACAATGCTTACTCATGACAAGACACCAATCATACAATGCTTATTCGCTACAAGACACCAATCATACAATGCTTATTCGCTACAAGACACCAATCATACAATGCTTATTCGCTACAAGACACCAATCATACAATGCTTATTCACTACAAGACACTAATCATACAATGCTTATTCGCTACAAGACACCAATCATACAATGCTTATTCACTACAAGACACCAATCATACAATGCTTATTCACCATCAATATTATGTTTATTTGCTACAAGGCACCAATCATATCATTTTTACTCACTACAAGACACCAATCATATTGTTTATTCATTGCAACACACCAATCCTATTATGTTTATTTGATACAAGACACCAAGTATATTATGTTTATTTACAAAGAAGTAACTTTTTGTAAATATTTACATAAAATAATAAACATATTGTGTTTTTATTATATTTTATGAGAAGATTTACAACTAAATTTCTACTCAAATCGATAGCGTCATATTTTGTCAAAGTCTATGCAGAATTATATTTACTCAGAATCAAACATCATATTTATGTAATGCTGTAAAATAAAAATAATTATTTCAAATGAGAAGAAAAAGTGAAAAAGTAGAAAACTACTACTACCATAAATAGAACTTTGAAAATGAAAAAATATATATTAAGAATAGTAGAAAATAGATAAAGCTAACTTGTTTTTGTCTTGTCAGAGATAACAGAAGGAAAAAAATATCTGCAAGTCCTTAAGACCACTGCCTGGTCTATTCCTCTTATTTCCTCATGAAGAAAACTTAAATAAAACTTAGATAAAAACTGTAATTAATAGTTAATAGTCCTGGAGTTATTTCCCTTCGACAGAATTTTTTGTCAATTTACACTTGATTAAAAATTACCTGATATCATAGAACTGGAAATAGCCTTATTCTTTAAATTAGAACATTTTAATAATATTGCACTAGTAAAAATTGTGCTATGATGTGCCTTTTTTGCTGCGTTCAAGTAACACGGAAAAATACAGAAATCAGTTCTTTATTATATAAGATACCTTATTTTATTCCTTAGAGACTGTAATCAAGGAAACTTTCATGTTTACTAACATCAGTGTAACCAAAAATAATAAATTTTACTTCACACATATATCTGATGCCTATTCTTTTGGGTTTTTTTTCCACGTACTGTCAGTTTCTTATCTTTTATAAGAAATACAACATTTTTTTATTATGAATTATTTCCTTATTTTTCATTTATATATGTTTCTGTCTTAACTTTTTTGCTAGTTGTCAAAGGAAGTATTTTACTAAATGCAACAACAGGCACCTTGTCTATCTCTTCCTTAGACAGAGAAGACAAAGTCGAATATACATTCGACATTATGGTAAGATATACTTTTCATTTTTATGAAATGTTTTCATTTTTATTAAATGATTCCACTCTTTGAAATGTTTTTACTTATAAACCAAAACATATATGTTAATATGTTTCTTTATACTTACCTCTCTCTACATTATAACAATTTTTAGACTCCCCAGCTGGTTTAAATTACTAGGCAACCCTGTAGCTCCATGAAAAATTATGATAGCAAAATGAACATTATTGAAGTTTTTCTTCACAATTATCATTACCGACTGTGTAAATTTGGAGATATTTATTTTTTCTACATTCAAACTTTTTTACTTGCTTGTAAATAAGTAAATAAACATGGAATAATATTCTAAAACTACCATTTGCCACTTATCTCCCTTGAAAAATGTTTTTTTTTAATTTCTTAATTTTTTCAGTTTGGCATAAATACAAACCCCACAATATAACCATTGCATTGCAAATCACACAGATTTTTATTTTGTATTCCTTAATAAATTTAAGGGTATCTTCCATTTTCAAAATTATGTGAAGAATCTTAAGAAAATCTAATTTGAAATAATGCCTTAAAATTGAGAGAATTTTCATGGAATCAAAAATTACTACTGAATAGTATTTAAAATTATTTACATGCGGACTATTTCAGCCATTGTATATCAATCCAAGTAACGTAATGGGAATGCATTGCACTCTCTGTGCTACTATATGGCACTAAAACATGGCCTCTCAGCAAGAGCCTTGCTGTCTGCAACCATGGCATCTTGTTCCACACACTCAGGATCAAAAAGCAAGTGCACTGGTCTGATTTCATGTCCAGTGAGGGTCTTCACTGGAGGAACATCCTCCACACCTTCACTTAATGCCATATTTGCCACTTCTGTCACATTCTGAGATGACCTGATGACTACTCTAAAAGAGTTATCTACCAGTTCAACCTCATCATCTGTAAACTGGCAACACACTCTCAGCAGGCCACTGGAAGGATATCATCTCCAAGAGATTAATCTGGAGGACATTCCGATGCTCTGCCAAGACTGTGAGAGATGGTGGGGGGACAAGATGACTCTCATGAGCTCAACACCTTCATGACATCAAATTTAGACGCAGCATAAAACAAAACTATTAGCAGTTATTGTTACAATCAGATTTTAGCCTTAAATTGATTAACCATCAAATATTAATTGAAATCTTCAAGACACAAGGTGGCAAGATTATTTTATAGTCTTTTGGTGCATTTCTGTTTGTTTTTTGTTTTGTTTTTTTAGGCTAAAGATGGAGGTAATCCTCCCATGAATTCTACTACCAAAGTGACTGTTGAAGTACTGGACGTTAATGATAATGCACCTGTGTTTACAAAAGCTGAATACAATGCAAATGTAAATGAAAACAGTGAACCTCAAAAGGTCAGATATTCTTCGTCATTGTCTTTTTCATTATTTGACTCTGCAAGTGATGTTGTAATGTTGTGTTTGTAAAATAAACGAGAATAATTTGTGTTTAACAATTAAGAAAGGTATAAAAAGATCTCCTAACTTAAGAAACAGCCACAATAGTATTTTCGAAATACAATATATTTCATTATGTAAGCTGATGGTCACATGTCCTACTAAAATATCAGAAAAGATGTGTTCAGTGCCATTTCATTGGCTCATGAATTGAGGAATCAGTAACAAGCAAGAACATGAGATTTTGGGGTAAAAAATAAGAGTTTCTTCCTCCAAAATTCTTCAATAAGAATTCTACTTTTGGTAGCAAACACAAGGGTCTGCAAGATGCTAGGATATGGAACTTTTTCTTACTCATTACACCTTCTCTTTCTCTGACAAGTAGTCAGTGTAATTTCCTTACCCAGGACAATACAGACCATACACATTGATAAGTTATTTTTCTAAAATATTTTGATGGCTATATTTAAATTCTTTTATTGTCATCACTGGTTGTTGTGGCTGTGTAGGTAATCTAATATTTATCAGCATGGGAATGAGAATTGGCATGCTTTCTTTAAATCCTGACAGTTTTGTTTACGTAACACTAATGCCCTTGGAAAAGACATGAATCCATAACCCCCTAGCAAGGTAGATTGGTCTCATTAAACTTAGTCTAGGAAAATTCAAAAACAATCTGAACAGAGACAGACTCTATTAGGTTATCTTGCCCTAGCCACATCTGCTTCAGATACAGTACATGTGGTACTTCTACAACCCTAATAGGTTACAGGATGTGTGATTGTGATGTATTTTCTGTTTCTATTAAAAGGAATCAGACTATAATGTTAAGAACATACAAATTGGATACGATCAATTCTTGGTCATCCAAGAGATATAATGGTAAAAAGAGAGTTTTAAGGTAGAATCCAAAAGTAGTAGTTTGATGATAGAGCTGGATACTATCAAGTAACACTTCTTGACAACTGAAATGCCATCATTTAACAGCTCTTCCCAGTTATAGACTACTGTCTATGGCAGTAGTTTCTCATAGGTGCAGTGGAAAAGGATAGTAGGTGAGGCAGAATGATTGAAAGACAATCAAAATTTTAGAAACAGTTTCAAAAAATTCATATGCCAAAAATAAATATGATTTCAAAATTTATAATATTATGATGGATTACTTCTAATTGAATGCATGAGTCCCAGTATAAACAGTTATAAATAATTTTTGACCGATTTTATCATTGTGATATTTTTGCATTATATCTAGTATTAAGAATATAGTAACTAGGGTCTGCAAATTGGAGGAGAGTGTTATCAATGATAATGTTCTGATTTCAAATCCATGGTTATCTCCCTTTAACACGATCTCTGTTTTTTTATTTTTAAATCTACTTTTTGACATGAAATTTGGTGAAGCACAAGCAAATTTTTGGATGGTTCTTTGTTAGCTGGTTTTCAGTTAACATCACTTTTGCTTTCTATTAGGAATCCAAGAATATAAGATATCTAGAAATCTGATTATTGATATAAAAATGCATTGTTTTTTTAATTTCAGATCCTTACAGTTCATGCTGATGATAAAGATGCTGGCCTGAATGGATTAGTTTTTTATAAACTCCAAAACAAATCTGTACCTTTCATTATCAACCAAATCAGTAAGATCAATTAATCTTTTCAATTAAATTAATTATATTTATTTCACTTAGTTACATGCACATTAATATGTTCACCAAAAAAACAAGGTGAGGTTAATGTATCTCTCATGACAATGTCTGCTTATGTGAACTGGTCATTTTTACAAGATATTTGCGAAGTTCTGCTATCAATTATTTGTCGTCACAAAAATAATAATAGAACTCAAAGATGTCAAGGTTTATTGCATAAAATACACAATTGTGGCACAAGACCGACATAGAAATACATGGATACAGTAGAAATCAAAGACTGTGTATCCATGAATCAAAATGGAGGAAATTTTCTTCTTTACTTTCTTATGAGTCAGGATCAAATATAAATCAAATATGGATCCGATTCTGACAGAATTATAGGATAAATAACAAATAGGAAACATTTATCAATCTAAGGACATTCACAAGTGAGGGAAATTATACTGAGAGGTGCCCAACCCTAGAGAACAGATGCCTAAGGCTGTGCCCTCTCACTGCACCAGAGATCAGTGCTTATGCCGAGGTCAGCGCAACCGATGATTGCAGGGGCTTGGGCAATTTTTGTTCCTAGCCCAGGTGTACACGCTCGGGTCTCCACCTTAAAAACTGACCTTGTGTCTATTATTGGGGAGACAGACTAAATACCATGTGTAAATTGCTCTCTCAAGTAGTTTATAACATGTCTATTTATCATCTCTCAGTTGCGTCTCTTTGTTTGACCAGAGTGTGCTCGGAGGCGACTCCGTGAAAAGACAGAGTTGCAATTGAGGAAAATTATTCTATGAAGTGTCCAGCCTTGGGGAACAGCTTTTTGAGGCTGTGCCCTCTCATTGCACCAGAGACAGTGGGGTTGGGTAAATACAAATTACAAATTAGTAGAGCTGGGGCTTTTTAATCTCAGAGTTCATGGGAGAATTGACCTCCAATTTCGAATTTATTCATATAGATTCCATAATATAGGTTTTACTTAATTAATTATTATTTTTCTCTAACTCTTCAAATGTTGAATGTATAACTAATTCTAATTTCTATTTTCCCATCTTTACACCATATTAATTTTATCTCATAAATTGTCCCCTGTTCTGTCAACCATGAAATAAAAATAATTGTTTGTACGGAAAATAAAGATCTATATACATCAAATTGTCTTTAAATTAAGAGGCAGCAGAAGAATTATCAATGAACTTTTAAAAGGTAAGCTTAAACATTAATTCAGTACTTAAATGCAGCCATCAATTTTTAGAATCCAAGAATCCTCCAGAGGGGCTAGCTTAAATGCCTCCTGATAAGGCAGCTTTTAAAATAGATTAAAATTTTAAGTTAGCTGCAATTTTGGATACAAAAGGAAAATAACAGTTATTCCCCTTGAACCATGAAATTGCTAGTATAATATATTAATATATATTTTTAACTTTGCATAATCTGGCAACCCGAATCTGAGCTCAACAAAAATCATTCCCTGCAATCTAACTTTTCTAAGGCCATTGAATGAGCTATGAATCATTGAAATTGGACCAGTGGAAGTGGAGGAGTTGCTTGGAAACACACATGCACAAACACACACACATACACTGTACTTTATATATAAGATTTACACTCCTTAAGTAGGTCATTTAAATGAATTCCATGTCATATGAAGTTTTTCAATTTTCCTGATAGTAGCAGCAATTAGAAATCGGTTACCCAAAATATATTTGTTCTTGTAAGCTGGCTAAGCCTGTAATGCAAACACAAAGAAAAACTTCAAGAAGGTATCTCCACTGAGAAAAGAAAAGGAATTGACACCATAAATTGTAGAATGCATGATCTTCCATAGATCACGACCAATTTCAATCTTTTCACAACAGCTGCTGTCACTTCAAGCATATCCTTAAATACTAATTCATCAATTTTTATTAGCTGATAGTATTATAAAGATTTTACTTGTGCACAAGCATTTTTTGCATTGCAAATATCCGCCTACATGGGAAGCACATAAAACATCATGCTCATTTAACTTCAGGTAATTTGTCACATTATTCAAAAAACTGAAGATCGTAAAATTAGTGACTAATCAAGGTAAAATATAGAACATGTGCAGCTGGCACTGTTTTAAAAATTTGTGTTTGTTACTATAACTACTAATGCTGCACTGGTAATGAATACAGTCAATGTGTAACTGCAAGAGTGATTACTTAGTTAAATGAATTCCTTCATAATAAAAACTAATGTTTTTCTTATATTGCAATGCTTGCAAGTAGGATTACTTGAGCAGGCGTCATGGCTATTGGCACAGAAAATGGAACCAGCAAATTTCAAATTCCAGCCAAGTTTGTTTGCATTAATTTTGCACTAATTCCCTTGGGAAAGGTATGAAATCTCTTGTCTTCTTAAACATGAGTGAAATAGTATAGCACACTGAGCCCTTTAGCCATGGTAGGGCATCCACTCTGGAAGAAGGACAAGAAGACTAAAGAAGGTTCCATCAGGCTGTCTTGTTCTAGACACATTTATTACTGCTGCTGAAGCTGAAGTACATACAGTGTCTCAGTGACCCCCTATCATCCAGTTCACACTCCACCCCAGTCTTTTGGGTAGATGTAGAGGTTTATCCCTTCTTTCTTGTTTATGCTTGGCTTTCCAGTTCCTTCTAAAATCTTCTCTTTCCCTTCCAGTAGCCCTCTTGTATTGATATTATCTCCTTGCTTGGAGTGGTGCCTCTTACTCTACCTGGAGTGACTCTTGGGCCTCGTACAGGGTGAACATCATTGTAAAAAAAAACAATAGATTAGAAGACAGAATACAAAGTAAAAAATTTAATAAATTATTTTTTGAAAACTTTTTCTACAGCTGGTGATATCTGGTCAATGATGGTTCTTGACTTTGAAAAGAATCCAATGTACAAATTTCAAATTCTGGCCACTGATCAAAGCAGCAATCCAAAGACATCATCCTGTTCTGTCACCATCAATGTCTTGGACATTTGTGATGAAGTTCCTCAATTGACTACCGTCATTTCTCTTTCCAAAGATAAAATTGTAGGAACTTCTGTCTTTTCACTAAAGAGCTCAGAGAATGGTACAAATTACAACATTTCTGCTGGTAAGTTGATAAGCTTTCTTACTTATACATTTCCAAAATTGAATGTCAATTATTTGAAGAATTTAAGAGAAATATACTGAAAAGAAACGGTCCTTTCAAGATGGAGTAAAACTGCATATGAAAAAAATGTATGGCTCAATATAATGAAATATTTTTGCCATTGTGTGGAATATCAGATTTTGTTATTTTTGGTTGTTCATACTTCAACTGTTCCATGATCGTCCTGGGTATGATGATAAACTACATCTGGCAGCAAGGCCTATGACTGAGAGGTTTTGAGGAGCATGGAGCCTCCTCTTAATTGCTGCTATTCACCTGACAGGGGTAGTAGCACTTGTTAAGGTCCATGCTATAGACAAATAGTGAACTCCCAAACTGGGGTCAAAACACTATGAGAATATAAAAATATATTCTTATAGTAAAAATTTCTACCAATAGATTTTAATGGTAAAAACCAAAAATTACCAAATCCAAGAAGGAAATTAAATTTCAGCATCAAATGACCCATAAGGAGTTGATATGCCATTAATCAAAAACAAAACCAAAAATACCTTTTTGTAGTAAAATTAACAAAAATATCTATTTATAGTAAAACTACCAACAATATCTATTTATAGTATATATTTAGTTGTAGGCATAAAATTCTGTTCAAAATATTTAGATTTCAGCATTAAATAACCCATAGAGGTGTTGATATGCCGCTAAACAAAATCAACCAATGAACCAACTGTTTTATAAGATGTTCATACATTTAAAATTGATTCAAAATTCAATCAGCCTCTGAACTGAGGATTAGATTGGGTTGGTTGATTTTATGTTGAAATCAATATATTTTTTTAATTATATTTTAGTCTGTTAGCATTTACTTGGTTTGGGGATAAGGTGATGTATGTGTGGATGGTGTAATGGATAGCAGCTCAAAATGAGAAATCGGAGAGCTGAGTTCAAATTCAAGTTGAGTTTGTTACATTCACTTACACACAAATCCAGCTATAGATTAAATAGTAGAACTATCTATATAAGATTTCTTAAAAAATACATTACAATTTACTTTATTAAATATAATTCAAAACAAAAAACTACTTCATCTTGTTTTTGATTTTTTGATTTACTTTATTAAAAAATAATTAAAAACGTCCGTTTTACTAAATTATTTTTATATGTTAATTTACTTTATTAAAAAATAAATTTCTTTATGATTTACTTATTAAAAATAATTCAAAACAAAAAACTGGTTCACATTTTACAATGCCTTTTCAAAAGCCTTATTTGAAGAAAAATATTCACTAATTAAGTTTTTAATCATTAATAAATTACTTTTATTTGGTTATAAAAAACCTTTTTCTGGCGTTGAGTTGTCCCACACTCTTGAGAAGTGTATATTCAGATGAGAAAGATCTGTCAATACAGTTTCAATTCTTAGGTCAGATGTGTGCACAAGATGACAATAAAGATGCCAAGAAAACATTTCCAGTTTTGAGAAACAGGAAGGGACAACTCAACACTGTCAATTGAACACCAGGACTAAAACATCAAAGAAAAAACTGGTTAAAATTTTACTAATGTTTTTTCAAATGCCTTATTTGAAGAAGAATATTCACTAATTAAAGTTTTAATCATTAATAAATTACTTTTATTCAATTATAAAAAAAAAGTTGTTTTTCTGTTGCTTAGTTGTCTCAATCATGAGTTGTCCCATTGTTCAGTTGGTGGTGTTGAGTTGTTCATTAACCCCGTCAGACTTCCATCTCTTTAGTCTAATGAAAGAGGCACTGAAGGGTAAATGTTAAGATGATGATGAAGAAGTGAAAATTGCTGTAAGAAATTGGCTATATCTGCACATGAATGCATGTATCCTAGCTTTGTAAAATTCGGCTGGCTCCTTACAGCAGTTTTCACTTCATCACCATAATGTTTGCACCTCAGCAGAGGTTTGGTGATGCCCAGTGTCAACTCCTTGATTGTATGCTCCTAACACTCAAGTAGGGAGACCTATAAGACATAATACTGAGAAATATATGAAAGGAAGACATTTTAATATGTAAAAACAGATGAAACATAAAATAAACACTTTACTCTTTGATTGGATGTCTTCCCAATATGGACGCTCAGGGCCATCATGGCAACTTCTGCATGCTACCTCCCCTCAGTGCATCTTTCATTGAACCAAAAAGATGGAATCTGAAGGTGTTAAGTCAAGTCCTGGAAATATTTGTAATTTATGTGTTTTCTTCTAATATCTTTTCAGAACATGATATTGTTGACATAAATAAGAAAACTGGAAATGTGTTTACCAGTTCCAAAATTCCAAATACTGCCACCAACTATCACATGACAGTGACTGCTTGGAGCCAGTGTCACCTGCCTGTGCTTACCGAAGTAAGTTTATTTAGTTTTGATCTTATAAATGGACATCAAATTAAACAAATTTTTTCTCAAGTGACTTTAAAGCATCTTAAGAGGTTCTGCTTCTGACTCATGCTGCCAAAAGGCTTAATCATTTTCTAACTTGTTCTGAACTTACATCAACTTACACACATAATTATTAAACTAAATATTTACATTATTCAGACTGTTATCGTCATCTTCATTGCCATATTCACAATTTTTCGGCTGTTGTATGATCCGGCCTTCTTCTGGTGATTAGAATTTCAAACCAAACATTTTATATCATCCACCGGGGTAGATTTTTCTAGTTTCACATGCCATGCCTCTTCCATGTGTCTCAGTTATTTCTCTTAAAATCAACTCTCCAAGTTTTGGTTCACTACTGCTGAGGCCTAGGACTGAACTCACAACTCTTTGAGTCACTGGATCTAACCAATGTCTTTATCCAATGTGTCCTTAAGAATATGGCAATGAAGATGAGGATAATAGTCCAAATTAATGTAAATAATGAAGTATTTCTTATTACTCTGCATATTATTTCAGTGGATACCCAAGTTTAAGTAGACACCCTGTGTGTTTATGTGTGTTTTAAACAGTGTGAATATTACCAGCCTGCACATTTAAGAGAATTGATTAATAAAATTCAAGAGAGCATATTTTCTTCATTAAGTCTCTCAATTTCACACAGTTTAAGAAAAAAGAAAAAAAAACAGGGTGTCTACTCAAACAAGGGTAGTAACTAAATTACAATCACCTGAAGAAGGCCGGTATGTACAGCAGCCAAAACGTGAATATGGCAATGAAGATGAGGATAACAGTCCAAATAATGTAAATAATATATAGAGATATAGACAGATATATAGAGAGGCATAGACATATGGCCACAACATTGTGAATATGGCAATGAAGATGAGGATAACAGTCCGAATAATGTAAATAATGCAAGTAATCATAATACCTCATCTCAGCGATATAGACAGATATATAGAGAGATATAGACATAAAGGCTGGAGCGTGCAATGGCCAAAACGTTATGAATATGGCAATGAAGATGAGGATAACAGTCAGAATAATGTAAATAATGCAAGTAATCATAATACTTCATCTCAGAGATATAGACAAACTGAATATATTGTATAAAAATGATTTTCTAAGTATTTTTAGAAATAAAAGACAAGGTTGGCAATATGTTGTGTTGAATAGAAATATGTATTTTATTGCAAGAAGGAAAGAACGTAAGATATGTGAATAATAAGCCAAAGTGGAAAAAAATTTTCCTAAATTTGCTATTAAATGAAACACAGAAAATGCTATAAAAATGATTATCATAAAGGATTTAGGTCTCACCTAAGAAAAAGAAACTCAAGGTCACCAGAGAAACATATAATGGGGTTTGGATGAAGCTGATCAATATCAATATATAGAGAGATCAATATCAGCTGATCAATATCAATATAATATATCTCTATATATCTGTCTATATCTCTGAGATGAGGTTTTATGATTATTTCCATTATTCAGACTGTCATCCTCAACTTCATTGCCATATTCACAATATATAAGAATATAATAATGTAAATAACGGAAATAATCATAAAACCTCATCTCAGAGATATAGACAGATATATAGAGATATATTATATTGATATTGATCAGCTGATATTGATCTCTCTAGATCAATATCAGCTGATCAATATGAAACAATCATGGAAGCTTTTGACCACTCATCTAGGATCCTTAGATTTTTATTAAAAGTAGATTTTTAAGAAGAGACAAAAATCGTCTTAAGTAAGAAAATGAGTTATCAAAGAAGTCACTCAAGGTTGAAAGCTATTTGTATACATTAGATTAAATTTCTTTGAAACAATATGGTTCACAAAAGAGTCACAGGATAAGGCAATGTAAAAATGTTTATACGACGTTTATCAACAAAACAACTTTTGATAAACTCATACAAACTCTCAAATGTATATGGCAAGATTACTGACTTTTGTGGATAAAATGCACAACATATCTATCTATATGTATTAATATATATCTATATAGAGAGACAGATAAACAGATATAAGACAATGAAAGTTTCTTAAGATGGAAACTTACAAAGGAACATGCCAAAATTGTGTGTAATTTTCCAAGTATTTTGAATTATTGGTTATTTCTACAGACAGAAAGTAGAAGTTAACAGACAGACAACAGAACATTTATGTTCTTTAAATTAAATGACTATACAGTGAAGACAATACTGTCATACAGGTTTGACATAACCTTACCAATAGAAAAATGAAAAAAACCTACTAGCAATTTTTGTCCAAAAATGTAGAAACGCTGCTAGCAATTTTGGCCAAATGTGTAGAAACACTGCTAGCAATTTTGGCCAAATGTGTAGAAACGCTGCTAGCAATTTTGGCCAAATGTGTAGAAACACTGCTAGCAATTTTTGGCCAAAAATGAAGAAACACTGCTAGCAATTTTTGGCCAAAAATGTAGAAACCCTGCTAGCAATTTTTGTCCAAAAGTGTAGAAACACTGCTAGCAATTTTTGTCCAAAAATGTAGAAACACTACTAGCAATTTTTGTCCAAAAGTGTAGAAACACTGCTAGCAATTTTTGTCCAAAAGTGTAGAAACCCTGCTAGCAATTTTTGTCCAAAAATGTAGAAACACTGCTATCAATTTTTGTCCAAAAATGTAGAAACACTGCTATCAATTTTTGTCCAAAAATGAAGAAACCACTGAAGAAACATTATGGTCCAGAAAAGAGTCACATTACAAGGCAATGTAAAAATGATTACTTAACAATTATCAATAAACCAACTTTTGATGAAATCATGAAAAATTTTGAATGAATACAAGAGAAAAGAAGCAAAGAAAATGAAAGGATAATCTGTAGGTATGGATTTAAGTGTTTGTGTAATTGGCAAAAAATACTTGTCAGATTTATTTTGGAAGTTTTCTTCACCACATTTGAGGCGGACAAAGAATTCTGTTAGATGTTATGGCTGACTTTATGCCAAGACATTGCGAATGCTGCTTTTTATAAGGAAAGGGCAGACGTACTAGTAAGCAAGTGAATAAAATTTTTATTTTTAGTCAGCTAATTATATTTCTTAAAAAATTATATTTATAGTGACTTTGAAATTAGGAAATCAAAATATTGACATTTGCTATGCAAATATCATAGGGAAAAAAGAATTTGTCTGCAAAACCTCACAATTTCTCAGACTTTTTAGAACAAAATTACTGACTTTTGTGAAAATGATGAGAAGCACTTACCCCCCATTGTTAGTGTAGTGAGTGTAATCTTCATTAGTTGTCCTGCTGTTAGTGCTTTTGTGCCAGATAAATTTCATAGACTCATGTAGTGGATAGAAATAAAAGACAAAAAGAAAAGATGCTGTCCAAAAGCTAAACTATTAAGAAACATGAAAGTTCTCATTAGAAACAAAGAAAAGAAGGCTGAACTGCTTTGTAATATCAATCTTTCTATATGGAAGTGAATGCTAAACAATTTTCTCACAGAGGGAGAGATGACTGGAGGCAACAGAGATAGTGGTTCTACAGAAGGATGATAAAAATACAATGAACAGATCATGTCAGCAACAAACTGGTTTTAAGGAAAATGATAACAAATTTATATCTAAAATCGGAATGAGAACTTGAAATTTCTGAGACTCATAATGAGAAAAGAAGGAATATTTGATACTCACAAGATATACTGAAGGAAAAAGTGGGCTGCAGACAAAGTACCTGAATGTCTTGGCAATTTGTTAGGGTGGTGACTTCCTGAAAGTCCCTGAAAACCACACCACAGCCTTATGAATGTAATTTGCTAGATAGAACCACTTGGAAGTCGTCAATGATTACACTAGCACAAAGTTATAAGTCACCATGACTGAGGATGTGATCATACCATATTATGAGCTCTCTCTCTCTCTCTCTCTCTCTCTCTCTCTCTCTCTCTCTCTCTCTCAGTAAGCATAACTAAGGTTTGTGCATTGAGCAAATATCTGTAATAGGGATTGGCTAAGCACCCTGGTAGACGGGTGTACTCAGAAACAAGTATGAGTTGGCCATTACAGTCATTAACAAAAGTTTAACCCATTAACTGCCAAATTTTTTTAATACGCATTTTTGGCCCGGACAGGTGTCTTAGGAGTTTATTTATTCCTTAGGTTTAATTACAGTAGTTACCATTGTCCTTTTTATAGAAACTAAAACATCAAATATATATGTGTATAAAACATCAAATATATATATGTATAAAACATCAAAAAATAATATTGATTAGAAATAATAAAAAATACTTTTCAAAATAGTCATTATTTTTCTACTCATGAAATATAAAATTACGACAGAAAGTATCTTCTTATGGCTAATAATAAAAGCTTTAAAGGCTAAGTGTTGTAAAATATACCTCTGCAAATAAAATGTATGTAAGTAATTCAATGTAAATACAAGGAATAAAATGTGGTGAGCTTAATTTTAACAGATCGGCAAATGTGGCTCATGGCAGGTAATGGATTAAGACCAACAAAGTTTCATTTTTTGTATTACTTTGTATCATACAAGATTAACATTATTCACACAAATATCTTTGTTATTGCTAAATTAGCAACCATTTTCATAGTATTTGTATAGTGAATTAATCTTAGAATATTGGCAAAAAAATCCTCACTTTCACCTTCACAAATTGCCAAAATTGTGGTTCTATGCAATGATGATTATTCAGAATGTGAAAATAGATTATAGAAAAACTTCTCTGCATATTAATGATTTGAAATTCCAAAATTCAGGAACATTTAGTAGCAAGTGGAGAAGTGGATGTCCATTGATGGATGAATTGATGAAGTGTATTGCTACAAGATCCCCAACAATTTCTTGTAAGAAGTTATGTGATGCTCTGCTTTAAAATCATACAAATTATGATATTTTCCCAAATTTTGTTTGGTCTGAAATCATTCAAACCAGCTTGTAAATGATGGTTAACTGCAGCTATGAAATCCAGCCGTCTGGAAAAGTTGTTTTCAGATGAATCTATTCGGCAACAGTTCATTATTTGTAAAAGGAACATTAGAAGTCTCCCTGATAAGAGATTTGATGAAAAGTATACAAGCATCCACCAAGACAGATGATTGGAGAGGTATGTCCAAATCTGGAACATCTAGACTCTACTTCTTGCCTCCAAGAACAACGTTGAATGGTTCAATGTATGTGGACCTACTGCAGGAGAAGGTGGAACTGCATTCATTAGTGCACAATATTTACACATATTGGTGCTCAATACCACAGGTCAAAGGTCATACACAATTATTTGAATAGGACCAAAAGGGACAGTCCAGATCTGAATGCAATTGAAAATTTATGGGAAAATGTCAAAAATAAAGTTGCAGGAAAACAACCTTTAAGTACAAAAGTACTGAGAGAACCTATTAAAGAAATCTCAGATGACTCCTGTATCAACTTCATTATCAGCATGCCCCATCCGCATCCATGCAGTAGTCAAAAGCAAAGAAAGCCATAAGAAATTAATGACCATGGGAGTATTTGGCTTGAAATGAATAGAAAACATCATCGTGTATAAATATGCAAGTAAAATTGAACCAGTCTCTCATAAATTATTTGTTACTGTGTTGTTTTTTAACATTTAGATACTAAAATTTCAAGGTGATTGTAAACTTTTGTTAATGCCTGCATTGTACAGTTTTTCTAAACATTTTTATCATGTCAGTCAGATGATTCAGTAATCTTATTTATTTCAAATATAAATATAAGAAAATTAAAATGTAAACGAGAAGATGATGTGGCGAAGTGTGCACGTATATGCCTGGCTTGCAAAATGTGTGAAGGAAAGGAAAGGAAAAAGAAATATGGCCATCCTGACACTTTAATTTAAGAAAGACATGGTCTCGGAGTTAGGAGAATTGATAAGAGAAGTTGGGCGTATGCAAATTTTTTGCAAGATCAGCTTGGCATAAAAAACACCACATGAGAGAGAATAGACAGTTCATTCATGAATGTGGCACTGCTTTCATGGAGAGACTTTGTCATTTGGAAAGAGATTACTTGCGTCAGTTTCACACATAAAATATATCTATATATTTTTCCATGGATTCTGACCACTGATATAAAACAAAGGTTTAAGTAAACTAATGTCTATATACTTTTTCATATGTACATTGTCTGTAATGCTTTCAGTATTAATAAATTACTTTCAAATCTATTGAATATATTATTACAAATTATCCTAAGTTTAACTACTAATTGTTTGCTTTAATGATAGCAATGTTTCTGTTTCAGTTTGAAATCAAACCAGAAGATCCTATCCTCAAAACCGATGAGAAAGAACTTAAAGCTGAACTAACAGAGAATCACTGCTCGAACCAAAGCATGTTTAACCTGTCAGGTCTTCCAGAGTTTCAAGGAAAGGATGTTAGCTTTAATTTGAGGACATTCAATGGTAATCAACATTGTTATTAAAAGAGTGTGTGTGTGTGAAAGGGAGAATGTGTATTTCTATGATAAATGAAAATGATAGCATCATGATAGATGGTGAAACCATTGAAAATGTTGAAAACTGTTTTTCTAGGACCAATTATCCAGCTTAGGAGGCATGCTAGAGTAATGGATTGCAGCTTGGATTTAGGAATCGAAGAGCAGAGTTTGAATTCTAGCAGACTTCATTACATTCACTTATGTGTCTTAATACCCTTAGGAAAGGTATGAATCCAACTCTCCCTGACCCCCTGCCAGCTATGGGTAAATAGTAGGACAGACTGGGTTCTATAGCTTTGAGTTGCAATCGGTCTGCCACAGAAAGAAATAGCTACTTACTGCAGGAAAATATTCTGCCTAGTCAATCATGACACGAAAAAGACATGGTTGCCCAAGCATGTATCACGTATGGCACTTAACTGACTGACTATCCCAGCTACAACTGATAATATAAAGCAAAAAATAGTATTTGCCTCAACTGCTTTGGAAGACTAAAAAAAGATCTGGGACAGTAAAAACATTTTATACTACATCAAGACCAGACTCTACTATTCCTCATAACAATTTATACCTGTGAAAATAATTTGAGCTTTTGATCATATATTAGCCATTTCCAAGGAATTGGGTTGTGCTATTGCAAATGGCGTGTATATTGATATGTAGACATTTTTTTTAATTTCTAAACATGGTAAGTACATGTTCATAGTTGATGTTGTTAAGGGTTATCTTTTATGAAAGGGAAAATAAACTTTTTCGTATTTCTATGATAAATGATAGCATCATGATAGATGGTGAAGCCATTGAAAATGTTGAAAACTATTTTTCTATGACCAGTTTCCCCAGCTACTATTGATAATGTAAAGCAAAGAATAGCATATGCCTCAACTGCTTTGGAAGACGGAAGGAAAAAAATCTGGGACAGTAAAAACATTTGATCCTCCATCAAGAGCAGATTCTACTATAATCCCCATAACTGTTTATGCTTATAAAACGAGGACACTAGAAAAATCATTTTATACTACATCATGACCAGGCTCTACTATGCACGGATATTCCTTATAACAATTGATGCCAGTGAAAGTAATTTGAGCTTTTGATCATATATTAGCCATTTCCAAGGATTTGGGTTGTGCTATTGCAAATGGTATGTATATTGATTATATGTAGACATATCTTTAATTTCTAAACATAGCCAGTACATGTTCATAGTCTTATTTTTACAGCTAGAGATGTGTAACATGTGATCTGATATTGGTAGGAATATATTAAGATGTGATCTTACTACACTGGTTGGATAAGTGATAAGTTAATTTGCAAGAAAGTGTTGTGGTAGTATGACAAACATAAACAGAATTTTGTTTTGATTTGCAATAAACATAAGAATTTGTTTATTACATTGGTTTTGTCTATATTTCTAAGATGTGCTATTGTAATTTTTGACACTATTTACATTGCTTGGATAGTTGTCCTCATCTTTGTTGTCATATTCCCAATGTTTTGGCCATTATAGGCTCTGGCATTCTTCAGGTGATTGGAATTTCAAACCAAACACTTTATTTCATCCATTGGGGTTGATTGTTCTAGTTCCACATGCCATGCCTCTTCTGGATATCTTCATTTCAATTATTTCCCTTTAACTCAACTCTCCAAGTTTTTGTTCACTTCTGCTGTGACCAGGAATTGAACTCACAATTCTTTGGGTCAAGTAACTGGATTACTTCAACCAATGCTTTTATCAACTGGGTCATGTGTCCTCAAGAATCCAGAAGAGGCATGGCACATGAAACTAGAACAATCTACCCTGGTGGACGAAATTAAGGGTTTGATTCAAAATTCCAATCACCAGAAAAAGTCCTGAGCATACAATGGCCGAAACATTGTGAATGACAACAAAATGAGGATAACAGTCTGAACAATGTATAATATTGTCAAAAATTACAATATCACATCTTAGAAGTATAGAGATGGTTTTGTCTAGTGTTGTTTTAAGATTGGTGTTACTAGTGGCAATAAGATTGTTGTTAGTATTTTATAGTAAATTATTAATTGACTACTTTTGTTAAAGTTATCAGGGGATAGTTTTTTAGATGTCAACACTTTAATCAATAGTTGTTTTGATTTCTACAATGATGTCTTGTAATATTTAAACCATAACATTCTCTAAAAGAAATACCAACACAACCTCAGTTTAAGGTTATTGTCTCATCTTCTTACAAATAATACCTATGTTTTGTTTCTTACCAGAGAATGACAGAAAGTGCTAGAACCAACTATAAGAACAAGGGATAATTCTTGCATAGTCTTGAACAAACCATTTTTTTTAATCATTTCCCCACAAGCAAGGCAATAAAGCCACTCAGGGGGTTACCATGTGTGAAAGAATATGAGAAGAAAAACATTATTATGGGGCAAGAACAATAAAAGAACAGGTGTTAAGAAGACAAAAGATAATGATTGACATTACATTTAATTTTTTGAAGATCAAGGTTGACTGAGAAGGAAGAAGCCAGAAGAGAGTTCTACAAGTAAGAAATGTGAGAGATAAAACTGTTAGCATAGAACTTACAGCTACATATGGACTTTTCAACTGTAAAATGAGGAGACCTTGTCACCAATCTATTATTGGGCTTAAATTTATAAAGTCTAGTTACCATAGAGGAAAGCTTGTCAGAAAAATTGCCATGAAAATATTTACGGAAAAGGTACAGGGAAGCTATGTTATAGCAGTGGGAAAGTGACTGAAGCTGAGATGCCAGGTAAGACTAATAACATTGCAAATTCTTTTTTAGATTTCAAGAAACTATATATACATAGCAGAAGCACCAAAATAGATATGGCAACATTATTCAATGCATTGATTCAATATAATCTTTCCACCCACTTCATGCTGATGAAAGGCAAATAGGGTTTTCTCAGAAAATTAAAAGAGAGAAGTTTAATTTTGGAACCATCAAAATTAACACGCCATTCCTTGCACCAGTTAACAACAGATTGTAGGTCATTTTTGAGATCAGCTGCCAATTTGACCTTATCAAACTGATCAGACTTACTATGAAGACAAAAGTAAATAGCTGTGTCATCAGGATAGATAACAAGTTGAGAACTCACGATATCAGGAAGGTCATTGATGAAAATTAGGAACAATGTAAAATCCAAGGATAGAAACCTGAGGGACATCTGCATTAATGCAAAATGATCTAGAAGACTGGTAATTCAAGACAACTTTCATTTTGCAATTTGATGAAAAATATTGAATTTGTTCCCTTGTGCAAAAACAAGAGAAACTGCACAAACAAAGTATTTTTTATATTATTATATTCAATCATATATTACGCAGAATGTGAGGGCTTAGAACGAGAAATTGGAAAGCTGAGTTTGTTAAAATTGGGTTTGTTACATTCACTTATGCATAACATGGAAAAGGTATTAATCGATGTCTTTGTCGCCCACTAGTTATGGGTTAAACAGTAGAGCAGAATAGGTTCTTTAGCTTTGGTTAGCAATCAGTCTAGGAGAAGTATAAATCTGAATCTAAAACCTGAGAAAGTGGTTTAGAGACTTTGTGGCACACTATGTGCACCTTTTCTCTGTATTCAGTTCTTCTGAAAAGTGTGGTTGATTTTACACAAGAGCCATTAGCACTATTATCAAGTCATTTGTGCTGGGCAGTTGAACTGTTCAGTTTTAAGAACTAAAATGCTGAACCCTACTACATTGAAGATGACAGGAGAATTCATCATATTATACACAGAACAAAAAAAAAAATTAAAATTATCCCAATTAATACAGACATGACAAAAGTAAAAGTAAATACTTCTGTTTTTAAATAAGACTCTCTATTGGACAATCAAAACAATTCAAGAATATTTTATTATAGAAATTAAAATTTTATTACAGGAATTTCATTATATAAATTAAAATTTCATTATAGTAGCTAAAATTTTATTATAGGAATTAAAATTTTATTATAGGAATTAAAATTTTATTACAGGAATTAAAATTTTATTGTAGATTTCAAATTTCATTATAAAAATTAAAATTTTATTATAGGAATTAAAATTTTATTATAGTAATTAAAATTTTTTATAGGAATTAAAATTTAATTATAGGTATTTAAATTAGAGTTATTAAAATTTTATCATAGAATTAAAATTTTATTATAGATTTTAAAATGTTATTCTAGAAATTAAAATTTCATTATACATATTAATAATTTTATTATAGGAATTAAAATTTCATTATAGGTATTTAAATTTTATTATAGAATTAGAATTTTATTATAGAAATTAAACAAATTAAGAACATTTTAAAGGTTTTACTCTTCTTGACATTGAATTAATGAGACCTGCAATCTTCTCTTCTTGAACATCCAACCTGGCTACATTGTAAATACAAAGCAAATTTTATATTCCCAGATATTTTCCTGCCATGTTTAATAGGATTTATTTCAGGAAACTCATTAAGCCATATCTTTATGGGAGTGTCATGTTCAAATCTTTTTTTTTTTTTTGCTCTATCACACCATCCTTCGTAAACAAAAGCACTGTTTTTGTCCAAAGAATCACCAATGAAAATAGGAAAGAAAATAGGAATGTATACATATTTTCCTAAACTGATGATTTCAACAACCAATGCTCTAAACCTATATTCTTTGCTAATCATTGACAGATTTAAAAAGTGACTTTCTTCTGGCTGCTCAGCCAACATACTCCATATGGAAAAAATACGTTTTTTGATGGACTGTATTAGTTTTCTAATCCTTATTTTTCATTAATGAAGTACCTGTTTTGAAATCTGACAATTTCAATGCTCTTGAAATGTCAGGCATTAATTGATGAAGCAGTTATTTTTGTCAAATTTTAAAATTAAATTTATCAATAAAAATATTAAATGTCAAATATAAATGAAACAATAAAGTTTATTTCCTTCTGTTGCATATGTGGCTGCCTACATGTGGCTGCCTACATGTGGCTGCCTACATGTGGCTGCCTACATGTGATCCTTAAGAATAATCAGTGGAGTTTCTAATATAATTTTCCTTTTTTTTCTTTTACAGAATTTTTCAAAATTGAAAATGGACAAATTTATTGTCAGGTTGCAGTGGACCGGGAGAAGTATTCACAATTTGAGTTATTGATAGAAGTCTCTTACAAATACAAACCAATCGCATATACTGCAGGTTGATATCTTTCTATCAATTCTGTTCATATCAATCTATCAATCTATTTATGTTCCTATCTATCATTTGATATCTCTTACCATTCCTCTTGATCAGTTGATCGCATTTTGTTTATATGATTCAATCAAACTCTTTTATTTTCTTTCTTTCATCATCTCTCTTAATTTGTCTGTCTGTCTGTCTGTGTGTGTGTCTCTCTCTCTCTCCCCCCTCTCTCTCTCTCTCTCTCTCTCTCTCTGTCTATCTTTCTCTCAAACAAATCAGAACATCATACTTGGCTACATTCATATTCCATTTGTAATTGCCAAGTTGTATACAATTGTTGGATGACATGTCTGGTAGCTAAGATATTGTGTCATGAAAAAAATAACCCACCCACCACTCTTAATTTTCTTCTTTAACATAAATCTGACTTTTAATCTAGACATACCCATAAATATATTTTTCATTCTGACCTTATGCCTCTCCTTCAACTTTTGAAAAGAGGTAAAAATTTGTTTTTAAATTTCCCAAATAAATCATTTTTTATAAGTCATCTGCCTCACCTGATAAAGTACAGTCATAGTATTGAAAGATCAAAGCTTTTGTGTAGTGATGTAAAATACCTATTATAATCTATTATAATAAAAATATTATACATATAGATATATATATATATATATATATATATATGTAAATATAAAAGTGAACACTGAAGTCAACACTCAGAGGCGACAAACTGTTTCATGCTAAACACAATTATCAGGCCTGTCAATTGCATCTACCACGAAACAGCCTGTCGCCTCTGAGTGTTGACTTCAATGTTCACTTTTATATTTACATACAGACTATCTAGACTGATATTGAGGATTTTATCCCATAAATATAGCAGACCTTAAAACTATATTTCTTCATATATATATATATATATATATATATATATATAATGGACTCTCCTGGCAATTTTGACATATGAGGATCTGACAACCTCATTCAGTTTTTAGGTTTGTATCATATGTGACACTTCAGTCCTATAAGTAACCTGCATACAAGTTCACATATTGTGCGACAATGAGGATCTCATGATATAGCAACAGGAATATTTTCTGACACTTTTCAACATTCTCTTTCGTCTCTATGCTGGTCCATTTGACTGATTTCAAAATTTCTGATACCAATCTGGCACAAATATCTCCAGTTGTTTCTTTCCAGCAGTGAATGTTACTCTTTAACTTGTCTTTATATCTGTCAAGATGGCTATACATGAGGGCCATAGGTATTCTGTCATCACTCATCCTTGCAACAAAACCAGTCCAGAAAAGTTGTGACTGCATAAAGAAAGTCTCAATTCCATCAATGCTGGGAGAACATAATAAAAGTTATTTAACTTGAGCTTTCAGTTATCTTCATGACAGAGAAACGAGCTTCACCAAACACAATCTTTATGTGGTCAGGAAGGAGAGTAAAATTTGACAAGGATATTCAAAAAGAAACTATTAAATCAGGATTAGCTGAACATGTAGAGGTGATGGAAACACAAAAATTCCTTTGCAATGAAGTTAAAATAATATACAAAGAAAAATTTGGGAAATAAGGCAATTCAAAGAAGCAGCATACTTTGTTGGTTAAATCCAGTGACAGGATAAAAAGAGTGTGAGTTCAATCCCCGGTTAAGGCAGTGGAGAACTTTCAGAGGGAAATTAACATGAGATAACTGTTAACTGACATCTATTAAACATGGCATGTGGAACTAGAACAGTATACCCCAGTGAGTGAAATAAAGGGTTCAGTTCAACATTCCAAGTGTACAATGGCCAAAATGTTGTAATAAATATGGCAACAAAGATGAGGACATTAGTCTGAATAATGTAAATAGTATACATAATACCTCATCTCAGAAATATAGACCGATACTGAAGGGCCAAAACGTTGTAATAAATATTTGCAACAAAGATGAAGACAATAGTCTGAATAATGTAAATATTGTACATAATACCTCATCTCAGAAATATAGACAGATACTGAAGGGCCAAAACATTGTAATAAATATGGCAACAAAGATGAGGACAATAGTCTGAATAATGTGAATAGTGTACATAATATCTCATCTCGGAAATATAGAAAGATACTGAAAGGCCGAAACATTGTGATAAACATGGCGACAAAGATGAGGACAATAGTTCGAATAATGTAACTAGTGTACATAATAGCTCATCTCAGAAATATAGACAGATACTGAAGCAGCATACTTGTTATGCTAAAAATATCCATGTTAGCAGGGCAGAATAGATACATGAACATCAAACAGCAGAGCCTCTAATCAAAGAAGAGATAGGTTTACAGTCTTAAAATCATACTGTTTAAATGGATTAAATTTATTGGTATTGTTTCCTGGCAGTCATGAGTTCAATTCCTTGTTGAAGTAGTACAAGAGTAAATCAATAGCGAAAGCCGTGTGACAACACATAGAGAAAAGGAACAATTACAAAGTCTAGAAAGGACATTAGATATAAAGAATTATCACCCACTTCCTATACAGAATGATCACCTCACTCCAATCAGATATCAGTGATAAAAAAAAACAATATACCCTTTGGATGAAATAAAGGTTGTTGCTATGCAAAAGATGATTATCTCCATTTGATTGAGATTAAGTCACAAGGGTCACAAGAGAAGACCAGTGAATGACATCAGTTTATAAAGAGTCAAAGGGCAGTTGCTATTTATCACACAGAGAGGCAAGACTTGTCAGTCCATGCCAGTTGTGACATAGACCCCACTGAACACTAGTGTCACAATCCACAAGAGAATACAGAGAAAATCACAAGGTCTCATCAAGTACACAGAAGACACCACCAGCCTGCCAGTTTTTTCATTGGGAAATATTACCTGTAAGACCCTCTCTCTTTTTTCTCCTTTCACACTGCTTGTTGTATTTATATGTTATAATCTCTTTGTGTGAAACAAATTAGTAACAAGCATATATAAATCCTCCTATATAGCAGTGAATGCTGGAATATCACCTTAGAAACACGAAGCAACAGAAATGTGGTTCTACAAAAAGATGCTGAGAATACCATGGACCAAACATGTTAGTAACAACAAAGTTCTGGAGACAATGGCAACAAAAGGGAAACTTATACTTAACATCAGGAAGAGAATTAAAATTTCTAGAGCACTTAACAAGGAAAGACGACTTGGAAAATTTGATTTGAGACAGATTGAATATAAGAGAGACAGTGCAAAGCAATGCATAACCTACCTGACGAGCTTGAGTGAGGGTGAATAGATGGCAGAGCAAGGTTTAAAAAATAAAGCAAAAAAAGTTAAGAGCTACAGAGGACAGGAAATTGTGAAGTGTCATGATTGCCAATGTCCTGAAGGGACACGGCATATAGAAGGATAAATATATCAGTATAAAAAATTTCTTTGAGAATCATAAATGTTGTCATTCACTTCCTTCAACTATCCTGTTCTGTCTGTGTATTGATGTGTTATTATATCACAGATATAATAATGCCTATAATGGGGGAATTGAAACTGGCACCACCATTAATCGTTTTCATTCAACATTCCCTAAAGATTCCAGTACAGAAGAATTAATGGTAAACTATCTGGAATGTTGTGATTAAAACAGTCAAAATAAGGATAAAAGTTTGAAAGAATCATTGACTAATATTAATAATATCAGGATTTTGTTTTACACTTTTAGATGAGACACTGAAAGTTGTTGTGACAGTCTCAGATGTCAATGATAATCAACCTCAATTCCAGACCCCCAGCCTTTTCTACAGCATTCCATCCACTGCTCAGTTCTTCTACCAAGTAGGAAAAATAAAGGTTTGTAAAATCTTATCTATATAATTATTATCTGATTTCTTTGTTTGTGTTTGCTACCCTAGCAAGGCAAAATAAGCACATCATAGCACAATTATTTTAGCGCAATACTCTTAAAATGCTCTAACTTGAAGAATAGAGCTATTTTTAATTCAATAAAGCCAATGTTTTTTAGTAATTTTTAATTAATTAATCAAATATAAATTAACAAATAGATTTATCCAAAATCTATTAACTGCTAATTACAGAATTGTTTCCCTTTTTTTTGAGAAAATGATAAAAATAAACAGAAAAGAATCCTTCAAACTTAGTGATAATTAATATTTGCTAATAATCATAATATAAGTTCCACAAATAAAAACTTACTTGACATGAAGCATTTAACCATTAAATGATGGGAAAAGGCTGCACAAACATGCATGTCAAATAGGTAAAAAGTGAAAAAATTCAGTTTTAAAAGTTAGTTTTTATACATTATTTACACTATTCAGTCTATTGTCCTCATCTTTGTCACAATATTTATTACAACGTTTTAGCCATTGTACACTCTGGCCTTCTTCAGGTGGTTGGAATGTCAAACTGGACCCTTTATTTTGCTCACTGGGGTAGACTGTTCTAGTTCCATGTGACATGTTTTTAATAAATATGGCGACAAAGATGAGAACAATAGTCCAAATAGTGTAAATAATGTACATAATACCTCATCTCAGAAATATAGACAGATACTGAAAGGCCGAAACATTGTAATAAATATGGCAACAAAGATGAGGACAATAATCCGAGTAATGTAAAAAGTGTACATAATAACTCATCTCAGAAATATAGACAGTAGTTTTTATGCTTATCTTTGCTTTAATGCAATACAAAATCTTTAAAAATGATATTTTAACTCTTTTAGAAAGATAAAGAAGAAAGAGACATAGACAAATGTTAAATTCATAAATTTAACCTTTTTTTTTTAATCATTTTTAAGTTTTTAGACTCATTGAAGCATCCCTTGCGTTGTGTATCTTTCACTTTCTTGCAGCTTTCTTTGAGGCAAATACTCCAGGATATGACATAACTTTGTGAATCCTTGTAACTTTATGATGCCAATTAGTCATAAATGAATGCCTTATATTGTTAGAAAAAGTTTAAATGATATCTGCTGATCTCCAATGAAACGTTAATTGATGATGAGGGTTAAGCATTTGTATAAAAACAAAAAGACTCCCTTCAACACACCTGGAAGAGACGATGTTAGTTTTTCAAAGGTGAATTGGGACTACAGTTTGGTAAATTGAAATTGTCAGAATCTTCTTTTTTTTTTTAATCATTTCACCCAAAGCAAGGTAATAAAGGCAGTAAAGCCACTAAGATGCAATGGCTTACTGAATCAGAGAAAATGATAAAAAAAGAAAACACTATTAAAGAGAGAGAAAAATAAAGAATAGCAATATAGAAAGACAGAAGATAATGAGTGATATGGCATTTAAATTTTCGAAGATCAATGTTGACTTGAAAGCAAAAAGCTGGAAAAGAGTTCCACAAGTAAAAAGTGTTAGAGAAGAAACTCTTAGCATAGAACTTATGGTTTCACCTAGCCATTTCAACTGTAAAATGATGAGACCTCATTGCCAATTTAGTACTGCATTCATTTAAATTCATAAAGTCTATGTACTAAAGAGACAATTAACAGAACAATTAACATGGAAATATTTATAGAAAAAGTACACGGACGCTATGGTGGGAACGTAACTGAAGTGACATGTCAGAACCAATAACATTGCACATTCTTCTTTTTATTTTATCAAGAATCTCTAAATTGACAGCAGAAGCACCAGACCAAATGTGGCTGCAATATTCAAAGCCTGGACACAATGGTAGACTTATAAACGTATAAAAAACTGTCTAGCCAGACACAGCAAACCAAGTTTCCTACCAGTTATAAGAATATAATTTATAATATATACAATTTATACAAACTACAATTCTACAATGCACTCTTTAGTCAGATACTCTTGGAAACAAATAATAACATTCTGAAATATGGCAAATGGTGCATGGACAAAAGTGATCAAGATTTAAAACAAAATGCAGGAAAACAAAGTTTTTTTATATCATGTAAATACAGTGCAATTGTAAAATTAATTAAATATTGCTATTAGTTTCTGATGGTATGCATAAACTAGTAATAATAATAACACATCACCCAGTCAAGGACAGGATGTGAGATCTATTCACAGTAAACGAAGAAAGTCTTGCAATGGATGCAGTTTTTCTAGTAGTAAAATTGAAAGAAAATGAAAAGTTATAGTTATTGCTTGTTTGAAAGTTTTTTTCATCTGTTTCTTCTTTGTAGGTCATTGATAAAGATGATGGGGAAAATGGAGCCTCCCGCTTTAGCCTCAGTAAAGATGATAAAGATTTGTTTTATATAAACCCGTCATCAGGTGAACTGCACACATTGTTTAATGCAGAACAAAGCAAAAAATCTGAATTCAACATGGAAGTAATAGCCATAGACCAAAATGGCAAAGGTCTAGAATCAAAGGCACCCTTAAAAGTAAGTTTTATAAAAGCTTTTTTATTTCTGGGAAAATTGTTATATCTTCATTAGAGGTTATTGGTTCCAATGCAATAGTGGAATGACTGCAAACACATCCACAAATTTATAAACAAAATATACAGATGCATTCTGGGATTTCTTCCTAGCCAATAAGATAGGCCACATCTTGGAGTCATCTGACTTGATTCTGTTCTTTCTTGTCTTGAAGTCAGAATGCTGTGATCACTTGTCTGTCTCCACTTTTGTGTGCTAACACTATTCTTGTGTCCCGGATATGATGATAAACTACATTTAGCAGCAAGGTCTCTGATCAGGTTTTGAGGAGCATGGAACCACCTCTTAATTGCTGTTGTTCCCAGGTTCACCCTGACCCTGGGTGGTAGCAGCTGTTAGGGTCCCAGCTAACTGGGGTAAAAATTACTCACAATATCTTTTTTTTAAAAATACCAGCAATATATTTAAAAAAAAACAAGATATATTTACAGCAACATATTTTTGTAAAAACAAGATTACCAGGCATACATTTTTGTAAAAGAAATTACAAATGCTCACAAAAAATTAAATTTTGACATTAAATGATCCATTGAGGTTGATATGCCATAAAACAAATCAAACCAAAAACCATTCTTAGTTTGTGAACCTTTTGCCTTATTATTATTAATTTGCCTTATTACTACTATTTTGCCTTATTACTATTATTTTGCCTTAATATTTTTATTTTTACTTAATATTATTTTTTGTCCTGTTCTTTTCTTTCTCTTGTTATTGTTTATTGCAAACTTTGTCAATTCTGCATGTTGAGCATTTCTGCCAATTACATTTAACCATGGCCAGTGACTCTACAGATATTAAAAAAAAAAAAGACTTAATGCCTGTTTGAACTGAAATCAAATTAAATTCAGGTAAAGTTGTGTTAGGATTTAATCAATGTCCATTATCTATAAATGCTTCATAAAGTTAAAGCTAAAATTCAAAAGCAGCTTGATCATCAAAAATATATATGACTGTTTTCCCCTCTGTCATCTGTGGACAATTTCCTCACCAAGAAAAAAGAGACTGAGGACAACAGCGATATGCTTGCTAAGTATGCCATAGAATGTGTGAACAACAAGGAAGCTTTGAGGAAAATGAGAACTAAAAAAAAGTGCCCTTTCGCTTAGGTTTTAAAAGACACAGTTGAAAAGAAAGCTTGGAAAATTTAACACTCACAAGACATATTGAAGACAACAGTGACAGAAGGAAACAGCAAGTTTATGTGAATCGATAATAGAAAAGGTACTGGTTAAGATAAGGGGACTGACATTGTTTAGAGTGGCAAAGGATAGGAAGTAGTGGAGAGTCATGAACAACCTACCTAACAAATTTATGTGAATGGATAATAGAAAAGGGACTGGGTAGGATAAGAGGACTGATATTTTTTAGAGTGACAAAGAATAGGAAGTAGTGGAGAGTCATGATTGTACACATCCTGAAGTGGCACAGAGACACAGTACATTTCTTCCAGCTGATCAATAAGTCATCAGATCTTTTTCTTATGAATTCTTCACTTGAAAAAACCAAGAAGTAAAAATTTTAAAATTTTGTCTGAACAGAGAAATAGTTATACATATGGATTTTGTCTAAATCAGTGCTTCTCAAATTTTTCTTCCATAGAAACACCTCAATGTTTTCAAAAATTCCTCCAAAGATCCTTAAAGAAATGATTTGATAATTTTTGTAAAAAATAAGCCATTACTATCATTCAATAACTACATTTATTTAAATAACAAAACAAAATAAAACAATATTATATAGTTAATATATATGATTTTATTAAAATAATAAACAGAATTTGGATTAAAATATTGGGTTGGGACAAAAGTTTGTATCATTTGCTAGCAGGTGGCATTGAAACATGTGATTTTGTTTAACACATGTCAGATATACATATTCTTTTAAGGTGACTTTTTTAAATGCATCTTTCTACATGATTCATGTGTGAATATAAAATGTTTTTTACATTAAAAGTGATGATAAAAGAAAATGAAATACATTTTCGTTGTTTGATGCTCTTTTATTTCGAGAAAGGAAGGACGCTGTACAAACAGCAAAAAAGATATGTGCCATTTGCTGAGATGGTGTCATAGCTGAGAGTATAACTTGTAAGTGTTTTGCTAGGGTCAGAAATAGAAATTTGATCTGGAAGACCAAGAACATTCCCATAGGCTTGCAATCATTGATGATGACTAAACAGAAACACTGAACATAATCCAAGTTACACCACACAAGGAATCACAGAGATACACCGCATATCTCATATGAGACTTGGAAGGCATAGTGTATTACAAGCTCTTTTCACAAAATCATATATTAAATATAGACAAGTACTGTTTCCAAATGTACCAGTTAAAGGTAGCAATTTATGAAAAGTCTTTAGAATTGGTCAAGGATATCATTTTCTGTCAGGACAACACTAGACCTTACATCTCTTTGCAGATCCAACAAAAATTGGTACAGCTTGACTAAAGTGTCCTATTACACTGCCATATTCACCTAACCTTGCATCTTTGGATTAACACATTTTGATTCCTACAAAATTCTCTTCTTTGGAAAGAACTTCAGTTCTAGAATCCTGTAAAAGCCACTTAGAGCAGTTAACACATAAGGATGCCATATTCTGGAAGCATGGAATCATGAAGTGGCGTTAAAGATGGCAAAAGGTAGTGAAACAAAAAAAAAATATAGATATATTTGAATAAATCTATGCATAAATATCTATGAAATTTTGTTCAAATTTAATATTTTTTTTAATTAAATTTTATTTAATAATTCTGTATTTACTCTAAGTTATCTCCAAAAACCTCTTTTTATAATCCTTTTGCTTAATCTCTTTCAAAATGATTTTTGGGAACCTCTAACAAGAGTTTTGTGGATTACTAGCCATCTGCAAAACCCACTTTGAGAACTGCTGATCAAAATGGTAAAAACAAAATGATAACCCACTGGAGAGAAGTTGCGTAAACACACAAAATGTAATAAAATCACTGGCTTCAATTGACTCAGCACATCATTTTTATGTAAATGTCATATTTATTTAATTATTGAGTTTACAAGAATTCTCATTTTCTATTTTAGATCTCCATATATGATAATCAGTTCAATCTTGAAATAGAAGTCGAAAAACCAGTGGATTTTGTGGAAAAAGTACTTGATCCCTTCATCAGGTAAGATTTACGTGTGTAACAAGGCCCTCACCCTGGTTCAATATTTACATGCAGGAGAATGCAAAATGATGATTTGAGGTGATTAAAAATTAGAAATAAATTGCAAAAATTCCCTGAAGAATGTCTTAAAAAATTGGAAGGAAAATAAGGAAAGAAATGGACAATTAAAATTACATCAAATATATAAAATGAAGTTGATGAGGGAATCAGAGAGAGTTGAACACCCAAACAAATTTTGTGAAAGGTCATTAACTTTAAAATTTCTCATGGGTGTTTATTTTTCACTCTCTCTGATAAGGAAAAATATTTGCTTGGATTTCTAAGCTGAAATCTAATCTGACAGAATTAAATTCCTTAATACTACTATGCTAAACCATTGTCTTTGCAGTCATGTGTTTTTCAGAACAATGAACCAATATATCAATGTCAAAAATTGGAAACAGAGGGTCCAGGAAAATCACTTATATAAACCAATGAAGCATTTGGCTTTGAGAGTCACAAGAAAGATCTCAGAGTGATGTGCTAAGAAAATCTTCATCACTCAAAGACTTATAATGTAAATAGTGTATATTCATTATTTACTTTTATAATGAACAGGATTTTTATTTAAAAAGAAATCTGAGAAAATGATATTCTTTTTGTAATAACCACCAATATTTTCATGACTAAATTTTACTTGAAAAAAATGCTTAAGTCACAAATGTTTACATTTCCATAAAGATTAATTGCCGATGCATCTCTGCTGATAAAATTTTTTTTACAAACATTCAAACACAACACAAACATGATTGCCTTAAAAAATTGTTTTAAAAACAGTATTTCAGTTTTAGGGAAAAATTTTCATGTGTTGAAATCTTTAAGCATTTTTATTTTTTAAGCAATCATGTTCTCAGTTTTATCTTTCTAGAAAGGTAAAAAAGAGGGACTAGAAATTTTATTTTAATTACTGAAAGTCCACGGCTAATATTACTATTATTATAAAAAAAAATCAATGATTTTACCGAGATATATTACTGTCTTAATTAATTTAAAAGAACTGTTCAGAAAGAAAATTACAATTTAAAAAAAATAAATGCTACTGAAATTAACACTTCTGCACCCCCTCCCCAGTAGGCCTGAGGCCCCCACGCAGTTGAGAGGTTCAGGGCAGTAATCACCGGCTCTGTCAATTATTAAATTTGATGATTGACAATATAATTTAGATAGAAAAAAAGCAAAAGTACAAAAAGCAAAGCATGCTGATGAAACTAGCCCCAGATGAAACTAGTCCCAGGTGAAACTAGTCCCGGCTAAAACTAGCCCCAGATGAAACTAGTTCCTGCAGATATGCAATGTATATCATTAGTTGATGATTAACAATGTAATGTCAGTTTAAAAATAATTTTAAAAAATGGCAAATGACCATAAATCAGGGCTGAAAAAAAATGTCAGAGGCCACAATAGGGCCCCAAAAAACGTTTGGGGTTCCAGGGATAAGATACGTCAGCTATGCTTTCAGTGAATAGAACAGATACACAGACACAAAGTAATGCAATTGTTGCAGACTTACTTCAAGATGAGAACTGCCACTACTACTACAATTATCAATAGTAGCCAGAGGGAGAATTGAAAATATCCAAAGACAAATCTCAAAATACTCAAATCCCCATTCTGTTACTTAGATTTGTAATCAACACATGTTTGTGTAATATTGTCCGTCAATAAATTATTGTTAGATTTTCTGAAGTTGGTCATTTGACTTGAAGAGATCTTAAAGGATCAGTTTTAGGATGATGCATAAAACCATGCTCCCTGGGAAAAGTTAATAGCCCCTCCATAGGGAACACAGCAGACAACGAGGTGATTACCATTGAAAAACAGATTCATTTCAGAAAGTATGACATATATGGACTGGAATAGTCAGCAAAGATACATACCCATATTCGGCTGCAGATGTAGGGATTTGTAAACTTTAAATTTTCAATTACCAGTGTCCAATGACTTTAGACAAAGAGCTTAGCTAATTTCATTCAGCTTTCTAATGATTTTGCTTGTTCTTTTTTTTTTTTATTATATTGCTGTTGTTTTTAAATAACTCACTTTGTGATAGTTTGGTTTGTTTACAGCATATCAACTTCAATCATTTTCAAGATTTTTATTGCTGGTAATATTTTTTCCAAAAATATATTGCTAGTAATATTTTTTCTTCAAAAATGTATTGCTGGTAATATTTTTCCTCAAAAAATGTATTGCTGGTATTAAAACCTATTTTTACACTTTCATAATGTTTTGACCCCAGTTTGGAGGTTAACTATTTTCCCATAGCTGGGACCCTAACAGGTGCTACCACTCCGAGTCAGAGTGGACCTGGGAACACCAGCAATTAAGAGGTGGTTCCACACTCCTCAAAACCTCCTGATCAGAGGCCTTGCTGTTGGGCATAGTTTATCATCTTACTCAGTATGCAGATGTAGTTTATCATCTTACCCAGGTTGCCTTTGTGATAGCAATAGATTTGTTAAGAAAAGTGAAATGTGGTATGAACCTGAACACAAATTTACTATGGAAGACTCAGAAGTTGAAAGATCATATTGAATCAGTTGATATGCATGTTGCTAGGAAAGTTGATTCACTGTCATGCCAGAAAATAATTCTCTCCAGAATCTATCTTATACATTTATAAGTCTACCATTTATCCAGGTATTGAATATTGCTTCCACATCTGGTCTAGTTCCTCTGCTATATATTCTTGATAAAATACAAAGAAGAATCTGCAATGTTATTGGTCCTGACCTTGCATCTTGGCTTCTGTAACTTTCCCACCAACCTCCCTATATTCCCAAGTGATCTCTCATCTAAATTCTGGGCTTTAGTGATCAAAAAAGAACTAGTATTTTCGACCTGATTTGACTGTAGGCTTTCTTAGGAGAAATGATATATAAACTCAATATATCAGATTAATAATAGGTAATTGAATGACAAAATGGAGAAATAAGCTATGTAAAGCATTTGATTCTTTAAAAGGACTTCATCTGACTAAAATAAGGTTCTTCTTGACAGAATTATAGATATATTTGTCAGGAGGGAGATATATCTTAGTTATAATGATTCATTTAAAGGAAACACTGAATCTAGGTAGGGATCTCAAAACTTTAAATTTAAATTTTTAGTTACTGTTGTACAATGAGTCTGGACATACAGTTTAGCTGATTTCATTCAGCTTCCCAATGTCTTTGCTTAAAGGAAGATAACTGAAACTTTTGCAAGAAACATGGCACATGAAACTAGAACAATTTACCCCTATGGACAAAATAAATGGTTTTAGTTCAAAATGGTTTAGTTTAAAATTCCAATCACCTGAAGAAGACTAGAGTGTACAACAACCAAAACATCGTGAATATGTCAATAAAAATGAGGACAACAGTCTGAACAATGTAAATAATTACAATACCTCATCTCAAAGATATAGGCAGCCTTTGCTTTTATTGCTGTTGTTTTTAACCATTATCACTCTGTATGTGACTTCATTTGCTGTACAAAATGTTTATCCTGCCACTGAAGGTGACTCTGATCCCTGAACAATAGTGAGTTTGAATTTCACAGTTGTGTTGTCATATCCTGCTATGGCAACAGAAAACAACTTTGAGTGAAATTAACAATAAGGATACTGCAATTGAGAGGCCTTGAAAAAGAATGCAGTGGAAAGGGAAGTAACATTAATTGAGATAAATAACATAAATTATACTGATTTATGTGGATATATTTTGGTCTTAAGTATGCAAAATATAAAAGTTACATTTGATCTTCTTGTTACTTGGTCAGGGGGTCATGTGTTGAATAAAAACTAAGTGTTGAGTTGACTGAGAAAATAGAAAAACAAAAGAGTGAAACAAAACAAGACAGAAATAGATATCAAAATTTTTTTTTTTTTATGTAGAGAAAATTTCAGGGAATCAAAAATAGTCAAAATTTGTCTAGGAAAGATGTCCCTACCCTAAATCAATTAATAAAAGTTAATTATTAAATTTAAAAAAGAGAATATTTTCAGTTTATTGTAGATTTGTAACTTGATGCACTAAATTCAATGTATAATTCACTAATTGGTTATATTTTTCATCTTTGACATAATTCTCCTGGCCTTCAATCTCATTTCATAATGTCTAATCCATGTGCAGAGGATGCTGCTCTAAGCCTCATTTGAAAATGAACCATAAAATCAGCAGAAATTCTGCCTTCACTGTTGATTTAATCTTCACAAGGCAAAAAGATTTGTATAACCCCAGTGGAAAAATCATGTTTCTATAGAACTCAATGGGCAGAAACCATTTCAACTGAAGGTCAAACAGGTCTATTTATTAAAGCACAAGTTTACATTAGCTGAAGGCTATCAGTTCAATAATTATGCTCGGTAAGAAATATACATTTGAGCTGTTTAACATTCACTTAACATTCACTTAACATTCACTTAACATTCACTTCTTTTTTTCCTATGTAAAAACTAAAATTTTGTAGCTGTATCTATAAAATAATTTATCATATAGGATAGACCAGATCTGCAAATTCTGATTACTTTTGCGTAGTATCTGATGGTTATTCCGGATTTTATTTTGTTGTTATATTACTAAAATTAAACATTATTAACTATAAAAAGTAAAAGAATTCCAATTTATTATATACGAGCAGTATAACCCGCCTTCAGCTGGGTCTTTCATTACTGGGATTTTTTGCCGTTCAATTGGAGCAGTTTCAGTTTAAATTCAGCCCACCTGAAAATCAATATTAGTAACAACAATTAGGTGCAACTGAGGCACAACCCCAAATTGGGGGGGGATGGGGTGTAACAGTTGGGGGGTAACAGTTCGATGGGGACTGAAAAGGGCCGTTTTTGCGTTCTCAGTTTTGTTTCAGCTTCACGCACAGCAGCAGTTGAAGAGGCGTTTCTCCTC